CTACCCATCTTTCAATCTAAGTTCCAGCCATGATGCCTTCCTTGACCAGTGCAAGTTATCTCCCTGCCACTCAATCCTACGGCTTCTTATGCCCAGTCCCCTTCACACAGCACTCAATCCATAATTCTCTGGTGCTTTCAGCATAAGTATGGATGTTCTCTCTCTAGCTAGATCCTCTTCAACAGATGTTTGTCTTTATCCTCTAAAGCAATCAGAACTCACTTATTAAAATCTACTGGGGAATGAAGCAGTCTAATAAATAGACTGTTTCTGTGTAATAATAATCTTATATATATACACACACACACACACAGGACATATATGGAGACTCTGCTGAATAAAACAGTATTTATTCAAAGTTTAAGGAATCATTCATGCTTGATATAAGCTTTACTGAAATAACTTTGTACTATGAAGCACAAAATTTTAACTTTTTCAAAAAATCTGAGCACTATTTGAAGAGCACTGAGTATTAATGAAAAAATATCTCCTTTCAAGTACATAAGCCATTTCCTAAATATGAGGCATTTTGAGAAGAATGTTAATAAGTGCCATCAGTATTCTAAGATACAATGTAATGGTTCCAAATATATCTAGAGTCATAAAAAGCTGACGTTGAAAGAGGCCCACATTTAGGACAAAACTTATAAACCAAGTTAGACTTTGAAAATAACAGATTCAGTCGAAGATGATTAAGTGCAGGCCAAGGTGCAACACAATCTCATAAATGGTGGGAGATCAAAAAGATATAAAATAATCCACTATAACTTCTGACCCTTTGAGGTGGTCCAGATATTTCCATATCCTCATGTTAGGATGTTTTATGATATGTGTCTGCACCACTAGAATCAGAGAGAGAATACAGCATACTCAACCTAACTACAAAGTGCGGCGGTTTTATGATATAATATAGGCAGTCTCCAAATTATGAAGGTAAATTTACCAAGAATTGCCTACAAGCATTACATTTTTTTCTTGGTCATGCTATATTATGTGCATAAATGCATGTTATTATCCCTATCGGACTATTATCCATTTTCTATCCCCGTAAATACTGTAACCATCATTTTTTAAAGTTATATAAAACCTTTCAGGTTTTCAGAAGAGAAAACAATGGGCACTAATTTATAAAATTCATTTCTGATTAAGACTTTGAAATGTCACAATCCCATAAACGTTTTTATGGTTTTAAAATTTTAATTATATCTGATTTATTTGCATGAAGAGTTCAGGGCATAAACAGCTGAGAAAATGTTTCAAAAGAATCTAATTTTCCAATTCACTAAAACACTGAAGAAACCCTACATGGTTTAACGTAGTTCCAAAGTTGAAATATATTCACTGCTTTACATTTACTGTGTAGGTTATATATAAAGCTTCTCAGCATTAAAGAAAGGTGTATTTGTTTAAAAGAATAATTCCACTTCATCAAATTTAATGTCATATATCACATAACTGTGACATTAAGGAAAGAACCAATTAGGACTACTCTCCTTTTCAATGCCTCTAGGACTGACCAATCCCTCTTTTTTATTTTCCCCTCACTCCTTTTTTAATCAAGTCATAACTGTATCTTGTCATCCCAAGGAATTGTTGCCAACTCTGTAGGGGTTAACCTAAAAGAACAATCTCGAGGTTACTTCACTGTAGCTCCCACATACTTACAATTAAACACTTCCAATAGTTAATGGTTAGATCTCCAGGATCTAACTTTTTAACAACAGAAAAGATTTAAAAAGCTAGACCCAGGAGGGCAATATTCCTGCTTGACAAACAGACTAAATGGAGGTAAAAATTGAGCTCAGCATGCCTGAGTGACAATAGGAAATGGTCTAGAATATAAGACACTCTATAAAGAGGTGGGACATAAAACCAGGTTAAATTGGGCATGTCTATGTTCTAGAGATCTCTAAACATCCAGCACAAAGTGGTATTGTTTGGTCCATTTTATTTATGTATACCTTCCAGCAAAAACAACATGGATAAAATAGTTCATTAGTTTTCTTCAGAATTTCATGTGGAAATTACATTAATGGACTTCACAGAGGAAACAGCTCCACACACAATCCCTGCTGCCTAAGACGACGCTGCAGTAGACCTCAACAAAAGGACACATTCAAGACCAGCTGGAGCTAGTCTTAACAAACAGGGGATGTTTCTCAGAAGAGTGGCTTGTCACTTTCCGGAAAAAACAAATCTAAGCTAAGTAATAGGAATGCCCCAAAAGTCAGCAAAGAAATATAACACCTGTTATACCAGCCTGTTCATGGGGAAGCTGAAAATAGAAGATACTATATTTACAGACAGGGTCACTGAAATTCAGGTATAAGCTAGATGAATCTACAGGTAAACAGAGGAAGTGAGCCTGTAAACAAAGAATAAAGTGACACTCAGAGAACTATGAGACTGTCCAAGAGGCATAGAAAAGCAGCAGCATGGCCATCCTCAATAGCCACCTTAGTTCCCAGTGGCCTTCCTATCCAAGTATGTTTATAGTCAATACCCCTTCTCTTGAGGTTAATTTGAAAGTCTCTGTCGGAACCACAGGAGTCCAACGTAAGTCACATGATAACTGCTTCCAAGTATCTCTCTCTTCCCCTCTAGAGAGGATAACAACTTTTACTGACTAACCAGCATCCCCTTCTGAAATGGAAATACGCCTCCCTTTCCTGTCCCAGAGAACTCACCCCTTGCGTCTGTACGGGGTTGTTAAACCCAACCCCCTTTCTGTCCACTGGCTCTTATACACTCCTGCCTTCATACTCATCCTTGTGCTTTCTCTCAAGCACGCACTTTCCTGCAGACTCTTCATACAAACCCGAGTGACTAGGTGATTCACGCCCAAGCAATCTGAATACCCATTCCACTAGTCTCAATAAATTGTTTAGGCCTGGGTGCCAGGCCCCAGGTAAACCTGTACAAGTCCTCCCCATGGTTTTCATACAAGAGTCTCAGTGGTCAAACTGGCAGTCCCATGAGAAATACCTACTGAGCAACAAAGAAAGAGGCAGAGTCCTAAAGACACTGAGTCCTTGTAGCCATACCATCGTTGGTATTCAGGGCCAAGTCATTCTCTTCTCTGGAACTTCAGAATTGAAGTCCTGAAGGAGTCCTAATATACTCTTTCAGAGCCGAACTCAAAGATTTAGGGCAAACCAAGGAACCCATTACTTTACCTACCTCTAGCAGCAGAGTGGTCTAACGCCCTAGGAACATCTAATAAATTTACTCCCTAATCGTGTAAATATAAAGTAAAGTGAACAGCTAGTCAAGAATGCAAAATTGAAAAATAAAAACTATAATTACCTCCTCCTTCCTTCCCAAAGATCCCTCGGAACTGACACAAAAAGGAACAGACCAGCCCACTATTACAAGTTTTAAAAGCTAACATACCTTGCCAGCAAAAATGTACTTTTCTGATATGAGCCACACTCACACAATTCAATAGCACTTCCAGCAATTAAATTTATTTGCCTCTGCTTTATGCTTTATTGACTGTCTCTCTCCACTAGACGCTGTGAGAGCAGAAACCGGAGGGGTCTCATTTACTGCACCTAGCATGTAGCAAGTGTGCTGTAATGGTTTCAGAATGAATGAATGTAAGATGCCTTTTGACTCACTCATCCTACAATCATTTATTACTGTTGACTGAGAACCCGTTACCTGTACAGCACACTACAGGGCACGAAGAGAGCACAAAGATCAGATACGAACTCAGTCCTCAGGAACACAGGTCTTGGCTTCTCTGTGGAAACGCACCCTTTTCGACTTTCTGATGAAAATATGGGCACTCTATCCAGGAAAATATCTAAAAAAATAGACTAAGATTTTGCATTAAATTTCACGGGATTCCCAAGATAAGAATTCCGGATCTAGTAAGATAGATAAGGAAACAATACACATACAAAAGTACCGTGATCCTTTACTTGTTGATTTTTAGACTCTGAGAGAGAATTAAAGTAGAAAGGTGATCAAAACGCAGGGAAAAGACCAAACAAGTCTCTCAATACTTTCAGAACACAATCGTAAGTTGGAAGAATCTTTGTGTAGAAAGACCATCGAGAGCTATCAATGTCTGTAGCACGAAAACATGAATCAATGATGAAGTTGCATGCAAATCCAAGCGTTTTCTAACATGAAGCATAAGTGAGATAGGAAATTTCTCATTACAAGTAGAGAAAAAGAAATACTATTGATAGAAATTGGTGATAAGGTGCCCAATTAGTCAAGGCTTTTAAAGTTTTTTCAAATCATGTATTAAATTATTTCACTGATTTAAGTGTTGTATAATAATTGTAATTAGTGATCATTAAATTTTTAAAAAGCATTAATAACAACTAAACTACATGTGAGGCCAGGGAGAATAAACATGTGGCAATATAGCCTATATTCTGAAATTCTAAGAAGACCTTCCTCTTGGATCATGAGGTTTCAACGAGACTACCATCATCTTCCCAGAGACAGCTTATCGTTTAAGAGGAAATAACCCCAAGAGTTAACTTTACAAACCAAACCTATCAAGTGCCAATAAATACCATTCTACAGTAAGTTTTCTCCAACCATGATAATAAAAACACTCCAAAAACTTCAAGTAAATAGGAATCCTCAAAGCTCACCCCACCTAATTTCACTTTCTACTTCTCTACATGCAATCAATTAAACAAAAGATTTCAATTGCTACTGAGCAAAATTTTCTGACTTGTGGACTCAAAATAAGTTGTAAATCTTTAGGGAAGATAAAAAATGGAAAGCAGCAAGCTAAAGTTGATGCCTCAGCACGAACTATCAAATATTAGAGTTCGAAGCAGCCTTAGAAATGACTCAGATCAATCTTCTCTTTTACTTAAGAAAAACAAGGCATGGCAAAAGTATGCCCAATAAGAAGTTGAGAATAGTCTTCAAATTTATGGAGCAGATACAGGCCAAATGAGATCAATATTAGTACTATAATATATTTTAGAACATGCAAATTAAGTTTAGTAACAAATTTAAGTACTTACATTAAGAAGTAACTCATCTTTTGTTTTAAGGGGAAAATTCTTATTTTCCTTTTCAACTTGGAAATCATCTTCTCCATCTGACAGCACTGGAGGAAACGACACACGAGAGGAAGAGGAAGATGAGGAGGAAGATGAGGAGGAAGAGGAGGAGCTTGAGCTATCTGAATCTGTTTCACTGTAGGGAAGAGAAAGTTGAAAACTTAGTAAAGCATTATTGCAATGGTATTAAAATAAGATTATTCAACCAGGAAATATGTACCTTACTGTTGCTGGCAGATTCAAAAGCTAGCATTTTGAAGTTGACTATGGTATTTGGAAAGCACTCTTTAGTCCATTCATAACATATTCAAAACCCCTGCTATAACCCAAACCCTCTTATTACAAGTTCCACATGCCATTGATCTGTCTGAATATAATTAAGCATGTGACAAATTAGTGACAGAAGAGAGTTCTGGGCAAGGCACTTCTCTGATTAGACACCAAGGACCGGATCACTTAATTGCCAAGAAAGAGTTTCTCCTCAGTCTTCAGGCAACTTGGAAACTCCTCAAAGTTACTAACCTGTTGACCACTCCACTCTCTGCTCCGTTAGCCCCTGACTTCTATAGCAATTCTTATCACCAGTAACTCTCCTCTTAGTTTAAATTTTTTTGCTGGCTACCCTCTTCAGCCCCTTTTATGTGCTGTTTCTAAGAGTTCCGTCCTCATTTTCTCTTCTCTGTACTCTTTTCATGGATAACCTCACCCATTCCAATGAGTTCAATCACCATCCATGTGCAGATAACTCCTAAGCCTTCAGCCTTGGTATCTCTAAGCTCCAGCTCTAACCTCTGGCTGCATACTAGCAAACTCTGTATGAATGGCCTACATATACCTTACACTCGCAACAGAAGAAAAAAAGGTGCATTCTCCTTACTGAACCTGTGTCCCTCCTTGAGCTTCTATTTTATTTTACTACTTAGTCTTCAATCCAGTCACTACAGCTAGAAACCTTGGAATCATTTTGAGCTACTCCATTCTCAGTCAATGATAAAACCCTATTTTCGGATTGGTAAACATTACTCCTATTCCACTTCTCCATTCCATTTCCAGGGCTTCCATGAGCTTACTTCACATCCTCACTTCTCATTTGCTTTTCTGTAATAATTGTATAACTGATGTCAATACTAGTTTCTCCCCACAACAATCACCCCTTCATCCTATTGCTGTTACCTTCACCCTCTCATGAACTTCCATCCTAAGATTTTAAAAACTGTCCAAGACTGGACATTAAATATGAGGGAATTATTACTAATTTTATTACATGTGATACTAGCATTGTGATTATGTAAGAGAAGCCCTTAGCAAATACAAGCCGAAATATTTAGGGATAAAGTATCATGTCTGTAAACGATTTTAAAATGGTTCAATAACATATACATGTGAAACTAATAGTTCTGAAATGTTAACAACTGTTAAATCAAGGTGATGGCTCTATGGGTTTACACTACTCTCTCCACTTTTTATCAAGAAAATATTAAAACAGAGAAAACATTAAAAATTTTTCCCATAAATCTACACTGTGTACAAGATAAAGGCTGTGCTCCTTAGCATGACATCTCAGAGCCCCTTGCAATCAGCTTCCTGGTAACCTTCACAATCCCATCTCCTACCACTTCTCACACAGCCTCCATCTAGCACAGAAGTTTATACAACTTTCCAAATCCCCTTGCACTTTCATTATCTCAGGCTATTGTTTGTGTTATTTCCTTTGACGGGAATGTCCTCAGTCTAGAGAAATTCCATTTGTCTTTATAGGCTCAACTCAAATATCTCCTCTGAAGCCATCCCCTACCCACCAGAAGTAGAATTACATACTTCCTTCCCTATCTCCCACAGCACTTTCTTCAAACTGCCTACTAAAGTCTGTCCCATACTATACCATAATTCATTGAAAAACAGTCCTCCTAGCTGGATTACGAAGTATTTGAAATCAAGATACTAGCTCTGGCAAGTATTATCCTTCCTCGTATTTCACAGGAAAATAGGCAAATGCCAATTTCAGCACTTGGGCTCAGGAACCCATGAATTTGCAAGTGAACTGCTTCCTGCTATTACTGCATTATGAATCTCTCCCTCTGCCCCAGAGCATTTCCATCAGCATACCAACATTCTGTAGTACCTCTCTTTAATCCCTCCAGCTATGCCCTGATTTCTCCCCTTAAAATTTCTTGAAAGAGTTGTTGACACATACTGTCTCTACTCCTTTATTTCTCACTCAGTCTTTACCCCTAATTTAGCTTCCATCACCATCTGTCACGAGACAGAGGAAGTAGGGCAAGGGTCCTGTCTGTCTTGTTCACCGGGTCAGTATCCCACACAACACACTCAAATAATTCTAGACAATGTTCAGCGTGGTTTAGTAACATCCTACACGCTGAAGTCCCTTCCCACCAGAGATTTCGTATTTATAAGGCACACACAGGATGAGGATGCAGGTGGGGGTGGGGGTGGGGGGCTCTTATAAAACTTATGCAGAACATACAATACTATTAAATAACAACGGTTTGCTAATTTCATGAACACGTGCTCCCCACAAGGAGTCTACGAATTAACAAAACTGTCAGGAGCCAATTTGGAAACACAAAATCCTTTAACTGATCTTCAATTCATCTGCTTCAAAAAACACGAACACACACTAAACTTGATGGGGAAGAAAAAAGTCAGATCTGACACAAACTCTAACCACAAAGGGACCTGCCAAACTGAGTAGTTATGAAAATAATCCAATATGCTCAGGTTTTCCATATTCTAACTGCAAATGATACGATCTACACGTAGGACTTTTCAGCCTACCAAACTGAGGGAAAAAGAGAGATCTGATTGTGAAGCTCACATTCACAACGCGATTTGCTGTGAACAGCGAGGAATGGGCGGTCCGAGCTACGTGTAAACACGTGCGCCCTGAGCTCCAGCGACCTCCCCGCCTCCGGAGCTCACGCGGACACCCTCTCGGCTCCCCGACCCCGGCTCCCCGCGCCCGTAACACAAGCCCTCTCCCCGCAGCTTCGGGACCGGCGAGCATCCGACCTGTCCGAGTCCGAATCCGAGTCCGAGGTCTCCAAGGAGTCTGGGGTCCCCGCCAGCTCTGCAGCGCCCGGGCCGGTGACGCAGTTCCCTGCGGGTGGCAGTTGTGGCTGCGACGGCGGCGCGGGACTCCCTGCCGCCGCAGTGCTCGGCGCGAGCGCAGGTGGCTGCTCCCCGGCCGGCTGAGCCTCGGCGGCCTGCCCAGTGTCCGGGGACCCCTCATCCGACGGTGGTGGCGGCCCTGGCTCTGGGATAGGAACAGGGCCGGGAGACGGCACCTCCTGACCTTGGCCAGCCCCAAGGCCCGTGCCGTGGAATTTCAGAGTTTCCAGCTGAGCAGCGGCGGCCTCCACTACTTCCATGGCGTCGCGCCAGACACCCAGTCAGGCTCCGGTCCTGGGCCCCTGCACAGGCTCGCGGCTCGCTCCGGAAAAGACCAAACCACCTCGGCAGGGAAAGTACCCGCGCAGGGCCCGCCGGCCCGCGTTCTCTAGCAACTACACGCGGAGCGTCTGCAGACACGCCCCCGCCGTTGACTCAGCGGCACTTCCGGGAGAGCAGAGGACGTAACGTGACGCGGCTGCGCTCACTTGGGGCGGCGCGGAGCCGCAGAGCCTTGGAACTAGATCCTGGGCGGCCCTAGATCCGCCCTTTTCATTGCGTCATCGGAACTCCGCTGACGGTGCACGACAGGAAGGCTGGAATTTCCTATTGCTCGTTGTGGGCCAATTTGACTGGAAAGGAAGATTTGAAGGAGAGCTTGTAGGCCAGGTTAGACGCCTGATTGTGCGAGGCTCTGTACATCGGAAACTTGAGCCAGGAAGTCCTGAGCAGACACTTCTAGCAAACTTCTTTAAAGTTAAATGAAGTTTGATCGATAGACTGCAAGCACGTTGACCATTCATCTCAAAAATATCACTACTACTGTTCCATTTTTTTTAATCCGAAGCACTCTCAAAGAGAGCAGTAACGGTGGACGGAATTTTGCTGCTTGTTGATGTTATGCTGATGTCTCTTGTAATTGATGCTGCTTCATAGAAAGGGTGGCTGGGACTAAAATGCAGTAACTTAGCCTGAGAAATCATTACTCTGTATCATAAGGAAGGAAAGCAAAAAGTTCTTAGGATTGAGGTAGAGATCAGAATTTTCTAGTTTCCTATTAGAACTTCAATTTGATGCATCAGCCCCTGTAGTAGTAATAAATAATCATTGTTACCATTTATTAAGCATGCAGATGTGCCAAGGACTGTACTAAATATTTTATCAGTTATTGACTTAGAATTTATTGTGTGCCCTCCATAGTAATAGACCTTCTTAGAAATTTAAGACGAGTAATACATAATCTCTGGTTTTAAGGAGGTTACAACCTAATTGAAGTAAAAAGATCAATCCATGGGAGATAACTAGAGAGAGATTTGAAATGTGGAATAGAAGATGCAAGTTCAGCAGTAATCGGAAGTTAAGGAAGATTGTATCATGGAAATCCTCCAAAGAGAAGCAGGAATTTAAACTTAAATACTATTCACTAATGCAATGATTAAGCAGAGCTCAGTGTTCCTGGCTAAAAAGACCCACGTTCAAATCTCAGCTCTACCATTTCTTTGTTGGTGTAACTGTGGCTTTGGGCAGATAGCCTAACATACCTAAATCTCATTTTCCTTATCTGTAAAATGGAAATTAAAATATCTCATTTACTTCATGTGAACATTAATTAAGCTTTTGTACAAGAGAAAGAAATGTCATACACATTTTGTGTGCAAAAGTATTTAAGGAGAACAATGCATGAACTTATGAATAAGATGATATTTCAGTGACACTGATCTTGCAGCGATATACAGTATGAATTTGAGAAGAGAAGAAGTTTGAGTCAGAATGACCATCCAGCCAGCCAAAAGTCAATTGCATTTTTCCAGGAATTAAGTGATGAAAGTCTGAGCCAGGGCCAGAGTCAGTAAAATAGAGTAGACGAAATCCTGAACATCATCATCAAAAGAATCAATGTACTCTCAAATTTCTAACTGAGGAAACTGGGAAGAAGTTGGTATTACCAATAAAAAAGGAAAAGTTAGAACAAGATACTGAGTTTATAATGTTGACTTTGTTGATGCAAAAACCAGTAATCAATCTATAGTAAGAACAGAAGAGAGTTTTTTATTCAAACCAAGCTGAGGACTAGCCTGGGAGTGCAGCCTTCACCAGGGGAGAAACCACTCTGGAGAAGCATGGTTTTTGGCACAGTTTACATACCATTGCAGAACAAAGAACATACGTCAAGCATGGCAGGGATATGATTTTTTTCAAGGTGTCAAGAAAATATTTTTGTTACAGATTAGCATGTACTCAGTGGGTTGACATGGCCCTGGCACCATGGGAAGAGAGTCTTATCTGCCATCACAGGAAGGGAGGCATTAATTTTTTTTTTTTGAGGAAGGTTAGCCCTGAGCTAACTACTGCCTGACGTCCTCTTTTTGCTGAGGAAGCCGGGCCCTGAGCTAACGTCCGTGCCCATCTTCCTCTGCTTTGTATGTGGGACACCTACCGCAGCATGGCTTGCCAAGTCCATGTCCGCGCCCGGGATCTGAACCAGCGCACCCCGGGCCGCTGAGAAGCATAATGTGCGAACTTAACCACTGGGCCACTGGGCCGGCCCTGAGAGGCATTAATTTTTATGTTCACAGAGCACCTTCCTGACAGTAGGGTAATGATGGAATGCATCCTTTAATGGTTAAAGCAGAGGTATAATGTGTGTTTGACCGGCCATAAGTCAGACTTCTTTAGTTCACACAAAGTTCAGGCCGAATCAGGTATAAATCAGAATGGCTTCTCTAAATACCTCAATATGTGAAATTTTCTTATCAAGTTTGAGGAAAAATTTAACAGTCAATTGAAAATGCCATAGGCATTTGAAAATATGAGAGTGGAATTCAATAGAGAGGTTATGACCAGAAGCATAGGTCTGCGAACAATTCAAATAGCGATTTGTTCATTCAGTAATCACTTACTTACTACTGTGTGCTATGCACTGCGCGGTGAACTGGGCATGCAGGAATGTGAATAAACACACAGTCGCTGCCCTTAAGGAGCTAACAGTTTAGAAAAAAGATAAGTTGGAAACAAGTGATAAGTACTTTAGTGGAGAAATGTATTATAGTAGAAGCATGTACTACACAAGACGGGTGTGCAAATGGGAACACTAAGGAGAGAAAGTACTGGGAAAGTTAAGGGAAGTTTTACAGTGACTATGACATTTGAACAGGGCCTTTAAAGAGAACCATGACTTTGTTAATCTGAGAAAGTAGGAGAACGTCGTAAGGGAGAATAAATAAGATCATGTAATTTACTGCATAAAACCCTAAATATTTGCAATCACACTTAGAATAAAATCCAGACTTCCTACTTGGGTCTTCAAAGCTCTGCCTGATGTGGCTGCTACTTATCTCTCCAATTTCTGGCTCCTACCGCTTTCCCCTCCCTTGTGCCGTTCATCTCACTGGTCGTCTTGATCTTCGTTCAACACACCAAACTTATTCTTTACATATGGCATTTTGACTTTACTGTTCTCTCTTCTCTTCATATTAATATGGTTCATTTTTTCATTTCACTCTTGTCTCTACTCAGATGTTACACCCTAGATAGAACTTTCCAGACCACCCAATCTAAGAGTATCCCCTAATACCAGTCACTTTCTAGCTCATTCCTGTTTTCTTTTCTTAATTGTATAGTCATGCACTGCATAACAAAGTTTCAGTCAACGACAGACTGCATATACAAAGGTAGTCCCATAAGATTAGTACCGCAGAGCCTAGGTGTGTAGTAGGCTATACCATCTAGGTTTGTGTAAGTATACTCTATGATGTTCACGTGACAAAATCACCTAACAACTCATTTCTCAGAACATCTCCCTATCATTAAGCAACACTTGATTGTACATATCTTCACATGAAATTATCATATGTATTTACTTCTTTATTGTTTCTGTTTTCCCATAAAATTAAGTCTCATGAGCTCAAGATCTTTGTCTAACTTAAAGTTGTCTCAGTATCTAGAATGACAACAAATCCCAAAAAGTTTTTTGATTGGAAGAGCAAAAGAGAAAACGAATAATATAACTTTACGAAACAATCAGGGTAAAGGAGAAATGACTTACAGATGAAGGTACAGATCCAACCTATGTTATTCATTCAATTTAAATGGACCTAGTGATATCTAGCAAATACTACTGGTTTCTAAAAAAATCTCTTTGTCTTTGGGGTGAGGATGGTCTCTGTGTTTCAGGATAAAAATAGCTATACCTCTGCCTAGCTTTAACTAGGTCACTATTTTGCAACTGATACTTTTAAGCGCTTAGATGTCTCAAAATGTCTTGAATTTACCTATTTCCAGAGCCTGCCTCTCTACTGCATTATTTCTAACAGCTGCTAAACCTAGCCTGAAGTCTTTTGCTTAACGGCTAAAAGCTAAAATAACTTCTTGAAAGAATAAATAGTTTATAGGATCACTATTAAAATCAAGAGAGGGTTTGTCTTGAATTAAATTATTAATTAAAAGCCATATTACATTTCAAAGCAAACATAAAAAACCTAAACATGATCTTTAAAATGCAAAAACAAAGTTTATGAGACGACATTTATTTGGAAAAAACCCCAGGATTTTACAAGTTCACCAGTCTCTAATTATAGTGATTGTAAAATTTTACAGAAAGAAAAAAACAGCTGCTAACCAACTCTCAGTGCCATTTGCACTGATTTCCAGTGCCTTGCGACTCAAAACACAGTGGTGAAGGAGCAGCTTAGGCATCACGTGGAAACTTGTTAAAAATGCAGAAGCTCGGGCCCTACTTTCTCGGTCAGAATCTGCATTTTAACAAGATTCCCCACATGATTTGTTTACACATTAAAGTTTAAGAAACTCTGCCCTAATGGCCTTATGAGAGCGGGAAACATCCCAGGACTATTATAGTTTTTGAAAGTAAAAAAGAATGAAAGCGTTTTCCAAGAGAAGCTTAAGTGCTGGACCATTGAGTCTAAGCTGAATAGACTGACTCTCATTGTCTGTTGATACCTCTATGTGGATGCCCCACAAGTACCTCAGACTCAAATCCAAAACGGATCTCAGCATCCTTTTCCCCATACTTCCCTTCCTTTATCTCCTATCCTGGTAATGCTACCAATATCTACCCAGTCGCTTGTTATATACTAAGTCTCAGCCTCATCAATGCTGTGTTATTTAGTCCAAGTCACTTAATTTTCTCTGTCGAATATTCGTTCACTCATTCATTTAATAAATATTCACCAGGCAACACCTTCGTGTCAGGTGCTGTGTTAGGTATTGGGAATAAAGTGGTAAACAAAACAGAAAAGGCCCCAGCGCTCAGAGAATTCCCAATATAAATTATCAACTTTAAATGATGAGTCACCAGAGTAGAGTTCCATAGACCCTTTAAGAGTGCATAAGGAGCCAGTGAAGGTGAGGGTTAGGGAAGGGGGAGACTGGCATGCCAGATCTCTTAAACATGTTGAGTTTTAAGTAAGATTTCATCTGAAGAAAGGGTTTAGAGGCCAAAAAAAAAAAAAAAAAAAGGAACATCCAATAAATTAAGACCTTAGGCAGTTTCTAGAAATATCATTTCACAGCCTTTGTTTTTTGTTTCCAATTTTTTTAATTCAGGAATTTATATAGATAAGACATTGATTTATCTTAATTTATTTCTTGTTTAAAAAGACATGAATTGACACATGTACAATTCAGTTAGAAGCCAACAATGCCCTTATTAAATGGAAATGATAATATTTTCTAGTATTTGTCACATAATGATTAGAAGCAGTGTTTATCACTCCCTCCACTTTGGGCATTTGTACCATTCTTATATTTCTCCCCTTTCTGCTTTATTTTTGTTTTCTTAGTTTTATTTTTGACTCTTCCTCCACTTTCTCTTAACTGTCGGTGTACTGATCAGTTTCATTTGTCTCTAATCTATCCTCTACACTCTTGCCAGAATAAGATTTCTTAAATGCAAATCTCATCATATAATTGTTCTAGCTTGAAACCTTTCAATAACTCACCATTGTCTTAAGATAAAAGCAAACTCCTGAATATGACGTGAAAACATAGAATTATAAGTCAGCCACCCAAGCGATGATGGGAAAGAAGATGGTGTTGTCAAGATAATTTTAACCAAAGCATGGAGACAGGGAAATGTTGGACTGGTTCAACTTGGGCTGAAAATTTTGTGATTTCTACATTCAACACACTGCTCTCAGATATATTAAAATATGCTGGATGTAATCTTCTAATACTTGAGGGTTCTTGACAGTAGAAACTATAGACTTTGTCTTAGACTGCCCTGAGGACTCCACATGCATTGTTGTTGACCCTTAAAAATGATCATCTATCTATTGTGTTAGATCATCCTCTGCTCAAACCACTAGAACCCTGCTTTTATGGCAGGTGTATTAAAGTCCCCCTAACCACATCATACCTGATTAAGCACACCAGCTGGTATCAGCCTTCCAGGGGCTCTTCCAAGCTCTCTTAGGACAAATGTACATTCCCACTGCCACTGCTACTAGAACAACCACCAGATGAACCATGCGAATCTGGTCCTTGAAGAATGTCTCCAGGAAAACTAAGCCTCTAGGCGGAATTACAGGGTTACCGCTTTCCCTGAGGACAGAACTCACATATACCTAACTGCTATGGACTGAATGTTAGTGTCAATGCATATGTTGAAAATTCATATGTTGAAATCTAATCCCCAATGTAATGGTAGTAGGAGGTGATTACATCATGAGGGCAGAACCCTCACAGCTGGGACTAGTGTCCTTATAAAAAAAAAACTACCCCAGAAAGCTCTCTTGCTTTTCTGCCATGTGAGATTAAAATGAACAATCCGTAGTCTACATACAGGAAGGGGGCTCTCATCAGAATCCAACCATACTGGCACCCTGGTCTTGGATTTCA